TACGTGCAGAACAGCGCTGCTAGGATCCTGATGAGGGTGCGAAAATTCAACCACATCACTCCCATTCTTAAAACACTCCATTGGCTCCCTGTTTCACTCCGCATTGAATATAAGGTCTCCCTCCTCACCCACCAATGTCTCCACGGAACTGCTCCTACATACCTCAAAGATCTCCTCACTCCTCAGACATCCGTACGTTCCCTCCGCTCCTCCTCCACCTTCCTTCTTAAAACCCAAAGGACAAAACTGCGCACAATGGGGGATCGGGCCTTTTGCTCTGCGGCCCCTCGTCTTTGGAATGCCCTCCCAGACCATCTGAGGGCACCACAGAATGTAGCCGCTTTTAAATGTGGCCTAAAGACCCACCTATTTAAACGAGCATTTCATTGCTGACTTTATGTGTTTTTATGTGCTGATTTTACTTTGTAGCACTTTGAGATTTGTTTTAATGAAAAGTGCGTTAGAAATAAAATTTATTATTATTATTATTATTATTAATGGGAGTGAAATTGCTTCCGGTGAATTTCAGGTACTGTGCTGAAAACCAGCGCTGGTATGCGAGGTACACAACGGAGGTGTGCAAGAGGGTTAAGCGAGTATCCTACTCAAAAAGTAAGTGTTAAGTAACCTGGCAAATTAATTTTATGGCTGTTTCACCAGCATAACAATACAAGTTAAACTACACACACATGCACGCAAAAGCAAGAAATCCCATATTCCCTGAGCTTCCCTCTCTTTGCATATAAACACTGAGATTACCATTGCCTATTCTAACTTGGAGAGATTTCCTCTCTGGTCGTTCCTCTTCAATTCCTTTTAAGTCTTTTAAGAGTGCCTTTTTACACAAACGTGTTTTGGTGGGTCAGACTGCTAGAATCTCACGTTTACCCTGCACCATAATGATAGACTTAACATTGATACATTACAGAATCTAATTTCTACTGTACAACAAAATCATGAAATCAACATAAATATAGTACAGAATCTCATTTTTGTCCGGCACTAAAATGATTTTTAAAATAAGTGCGGCATCTCACCTCGGTACTGAGGGACGTTCCCACTGATACTATAAGCTCATGTTTTTGCACTGATTAATAAAGTACATTAAGTTAATTTGATATTTTTAACGTAACTGTTTACATAGCATAAGGCATAATAGGGCACAGCTATCTTCACGTTCTTCGTACTCATAATAAAATGCAGAATTAAAATCTGATTTCCACCTGCCCTTACAACAGCCCGCACGTCTGCGCGTTATGAAAGCGGAACAATTAGCCACGAATCACGTGATCTTGCGGTCGGCCACGTCACGTGCTGCGGCTGCCAATGAGAAGCGGCGCTGAGTGAAACGGCATCTGCAGTGTGCACGAAGAAGCGTGTAAAGTGGCACGGGGGGTGGTGGTGGTGTGGGGTCGCTACAGGTGCTTTAAAAGCAGTGATTTTCATACTCAAAGAGAAGATCAAAGCGAAAGGATAACCTGACACCGTTATGATATTTTAGATTTTCATTTTCTTTCCCTAATTATAACGGTTTTCCTCTTCATTCTAAAGGCTCAAATACAATCTATAAATATAGTCTCTGTCTTTTACAATTAAGACGTAAACGTACCTGAACCCTGACTTTATACATACATTGTAGATAATATTAGTTCTCTCTGCAACTCATCAGTTAATTGAGTCATTAATTAACTGCGTCATTAGTTAATTGAGTTCATGAACCTGTCAATGTTTTCACTGCAGTAATTTCTGTTTTTTAATTTCTTTGGGTTCTACAATTATAAATGTCCTCATGTCTGTGTGCATGTATGTCTGTGTGGGCGTTTTTGTAATTATTACATCGTGGGGACCAGATTTTTGTATGTATGTGCGAGTCTGTCCGTTTCCGTGTGTGTGCACGTGTGTGTCTATGTGTGCACGTGCGTATGCATGGTTGTGTGTGTGTGTGTGTGTGTGCGTGCTCATGCATGTGTCCTTTCCCTCCTTCTTACTGATCTCCAGTTTCCTTGCTTCCTTCTCCACGCAGATCTGAAGCAGAGGTGTCTGGCCAGGATGTGTGCAAAGCCGTGAGGAGAAGCTTCCACTCAGGGCTCCTGAGGAAACAGGCCCTGCTCTCGCTGTTTGTCTGCCGCCTGAATGCTCGCGGCCGCTGTAGCTGGCGCTGGCCTGCAGGGGGCAGGGTGCCTTCTCAACCCACACACTTATTTAAATGGGCGCCACATGTACATACAGAACACACACCAACACATAGTACAACACTTAGTAAATATAGCACAACAGCAATAATAATAATAATGATAATATACATTATAATGGATTATCAGTAGGTGGGTTTGTAATACATATGACAATGCATGCTGTAAACATTTCTATAATTATAAAACATTTTTTTTTTTTTTTTTACAGAGGTCACTCATGTTTTCCTTTAACTGTGAATTAGTCTGTTTGGAATTGGAGATGCAAAAGAAGTTATTTAAACATATTGTACATAGGCCTTGGGCTGCTGTAAATAGCTTCCAGAAGAATCAATAATTAAACTGGCTGTTTGGCGGTATTTGTGTCATGCTGTGTAACGGATGACTAACCCAGACCGAGGTTCGGTAACGCATGTTCGGTAAGGGCTGGCTGTGTGAGCGGGGTATTGATGCGCCTGGACTGAGGCCTGCCTGATAATTGCTTTAATGACAGGCCTGCTGCTGATGATGTCACTCAGTTTGTGTGCTTGCTTAGTGGGGGGCGCTTGGGGGACAGGCTTGGCTCTGTCTCAGCAAGCCAGGCTCAGCATAGGGGGACTTTGTTGCCCTTGGGAGGGGGGGTTGCCCTTTCGAGGCCTCCGTGACCCGGATGCCTCAGGTCAGGACCTGTTCAGCCCTGAGGTCTAGGTGCTGTGTGGTTCCTTTTTTCACCCCCGGTTTCGGTTACGGGGGGCTCAGGTAGTGGTGTGAGGGGAACCATTGTTTCACAGTGACCACCCGTGCGTGCAGGCCTGGTCCGATGGGTCCGTTCCTGCTGGGCCGGCCGTAGCTGCTTCTGGGATCTGTGCCCCCCAGCCCCCCCAGAACATGTATCGGCTCATTGTTAACCCATAATCAAGGTAATCTGTGTGGGACCTTTTAAGAAGCCCAATGGATCAGAGCCCATTTGAATGGAAGATCACCCATGAGGACACACGCATCCCCAAACACTAGAGGTGAGTCTGGCTTTACCTGCCGTCTCTTAACCGGCTTCTGCATCAAGCTTAGGTCTTACATTCATGACGCTTATATGGAGAAGACGTTGGTGCTGCCTAATAGTTTTGTAAATGTCTAATAATGCATGAGTTTCTGGTCTCTAGATAAGTGTCTCCCAACCTGGTCCACGGTCCACGTTTTTGCTCCCTTCCAGACAGTCGACATTTTTGCTCCTGCTGGGAGGGAGCAAAAATGTGGACTGCCTGCGGGTCCCCGAGGACCAGACTGGCAAACGTTGCTCTAGACGGTATTTATGCTGTAGGATAATACCGTCTTTGCTGCATTTCAGAGTGTCACATTTGACTGTTATTGTCACAGACCATCAATGTCTTGAACGAGCCGAAATCAGAACATCTACTCAAATAATTAAAATTGTTATTCTATTTATGGGGGCATTAGTGCACGAAACCTGAAGCTGCAGCAGCAGATGTATAGTTCTGTCGAGGGCCAATCTCAGAGAACGTGAAGAGAAGCCTGCTAATGATCTCCACATCCGAAGCTCCACAGCGGCTTAGGTGGAGAAGCCGTGGATGGGCCCGATTTAGCAACACGGTGATCTCCCGTGTGCTAACGCCGCGCCGCAGTGCATTATGGGAAGCGGGCTCTGAACTCCAAGGCGGGGGCTGTGCGGGACCTTCTGATCCCCGGAATACCGGCTGGCAGACGGCAGGGCCTCATTAGAAGGGAGCGGATGCGGCGTTTCAGTAGCTAACCGGAGCTTTAATGAGCGGCAGAGGGTTCGAGGTGAGGGAAGGTGTCGGTGGAGGAGTCTGGGGGGAATCTCGGCGTCTCTAAAGACGCTCACCTTAAAAAGGCGGGACGTTTTCCTCCACTGCACGTTACATACAAATCGGAAGTTTATACAAACATATTCGGTTTCCAGCAAGAAAATGTCCACCAACAGTCTTAGAAACAAGGACAGGATATGAGGTTATGGTTTGGCCATTAAAATATTCCTCTACATGTCAGTATAGTGTTGGTGCTTATTCCCTAAAACCATCTGGGCTCTCAGCGTTTAGCAAAACCTTTTGGACAAACCTGGAAACCACTAGAAAAGGGTTATTCAACTCACGGTCCTTGAGGTCCGAGCACTGCTAGTTTTCCAGCCTTCCTTTACCTGTCAGTCAGGTGTGAAGCCTCTGACCAATCAGAATCAGCAATTATTAAACAACTACCTGGGAGAACTGAAAACACGGCCTGGATTTGGGATCGAGATTCAAGTTTGAAGAGCCCTGGACTATACAAGCCTGATTAAGCTGCAGGATTTTCTTTCTGTGTGTCTGCAGAGCTGGAGAACATGCTTCTCCCATTGCTGCTGATGCTGTTGTCCGCTCCGGCCGGTAAGTGCCAGCCTGGTGCAAATCAGCTGTTACCGTCTCCAGTAAACAGCAGCCGGAGTTTCTGGCCGAGTGACAACTTTGCAGGACGCTGTTAAGAATGTGTAATTTCTCAGTTGTTAATCTTGCGTCTCGCGCCTCCAGTCCTTTCCCAGAATTCCTCGTTCTGCCCGGAGCCAGCCGACCCCACAGCTGCTCAGCTTCTGATTGGTGAGGATGGTGCCGTTTGTGAAAAAATACAAACAGTCACTGGTCCAGTTAATGCACAGGAATGATGTATCACCCATACAGAGCAGTCAAAAGAAAGGGATGATCTGCACTTTGGTGTCGACTTACATCACTGTGTCATGGAAATTGTCAAATGTCGTTTGGCTTCCTTTCTGTCATTGTTCCATTCTGTCTTCTGTTTTCCTTGTTTTGTGTATTATTATGCATAATTGATTTAGTAATGTATTACAACACCGGTGTCATGCGCCTTGGGCCGGCTTTCATGATTGGCACTATACAGAAATGCATCGAATTGAAGCAGCATTTAGGCAAGTTTTAATAATATTTTAAAATTACATTACAGAGACAAAAAGACTGAAGTATGAGGTGTGAGAGTGACCATGCTTTCTCCCATGGAGCCCGTCGTACCTGCTGTTTTTGCCACCCGTCAGTGGGAGTGATCTCGCGTTTCCTGTCGCCACTCGATGTCACTTCCTGCCCCCCGCAGGCTGCCTGGGGACTCGCTTCACCTGGCTCCAGGAGCTGCAGGACAGCTTCCCGTCCCTCTTCCGCTTCGCCCTGTGCCTGCGCTGCAGGACGGGTCTGTGCCCCCGAGACCTGGAGGATTACGGCTGCTCCTGCCGATACCTGGGGGGGCGGGGGACCGTCGACGACATGGATGGGTGAGGCCGGACTCTCCCCAGGCGCTGCCGTGTTCAGTCCAAGCCCCCGGATCGCTGGAGATGATAAAGTTCCTCCCCTCCTCGGTGTGCAGGTGCTGCTTCCGCCACAGGGGGTGCTACAGAGCCGTGACCGAGCGCGGCTGCCGATCCCAACCGGACACGACGACTTACAGCGTCACCTGCGGCCACAGCAACGTGACTTGCGGTAAGGGGACGCAGATCCATCGCTCAGCCCAACAGGCTTAGCCAGAGAGAGAGATTTGCATACTTAAGGCACATTTAATGGCACCATTTAAGCTCAGGATGAAGGACAAAGTACTTTAGGTAAATGGACGCTGAATTAAACATAGACGATTGATGTACTCAAGCCTGATCCGGCCTTGCAGACATGAGCGATCCATGTGCCCGGGACTGGTGCCTGTGTGACAAGGCGGCCATCGAGTGCATGGGACGGTCCCCCTACCACCCCTCCTGGCGGCACCTGGACTCCGCATCGTGCTCCTCAGGCCCCGCGACCGGTAACTGCAGCGTACCCCGTTTCACAAACTACATCTCCCAGAATCCACCACTGGCGTTTAAAACCTGCAAAACTATAATGTTTGTGAAATATACTTTTTGTAAATGATTCGAACAATAGCCAGCTTTTTTTCTCCTATCCTATGATATGGTCCCTATGGATTTTATTGACTTGGGGGGGGTCACATGATTCCTCCAGCGTGCTCTTCATAGACACCACGGCGGAAAGCGCCAGTAGATCACTACGGGCGCAAAACACTTTCGTTCTGGAAGCAAACGGCAGAAAGTGGTTATATATCCCTCATGCCCAGTGGGAGGGGAGGCTGCAGCGGTGGAAGGTCTCCTTGCCATGTGTCACCCTCCGTCTTACAGATCTGCCTGACAACAGCAGCTTGAGCAGGGCGAGCGCAGGGCAGGTGGGGCGATGCCGAGGTTCACGTTCGGAATGGATCCACCCACGTGTGTCAAAGGGATAGGGATGGACGGGACGGGACAGGAAGTTAGAGACGGGCAATCACTGCTTCAGCTTCAGTATGGCGTTCTGTTCATTCACCTCCTTTAGCTTGATCTGCACATTTTATTTCCCCCCCTAAAGTGCTTTCCAAAAATGGATTATCCGCTGCCAGGTACTGCATTACTGCTCGTAAAAAAAAGGGCTAAATTATAGCTGAGGATCCTTCTTTTTCATAATGGGTTTTGCTGGTATAATTTCTGTGATGAATGAAAATGCCAAGCGCCAGGCCTACCTCGCGCCGACCCGGCCGTAAATAAACATCATTTCCGGATGATTATGCCGCTTAATGTTGTGTGCCGAGGCGTCGCCTCAGGTTAGCCAAGCTAGCGGCCGGATAAAAACAAATGACCTTTAAATAATCCACGTCGGCGGCTTGGTTACTGCAGCAAGATCGACTCCGCAGCCTCGTCACAAAAGGAGGACTTGACATGCAAGGACATTGTTTCCTGCCACCGCATCAGGTTCTGGGCCGCCGACAAACGGTTCCCTGCAGAACCTGCAGGAGGAAGGTTCTCCCGTGGATTTCTTCGCCGATGGTGAGAGCAGCTGGCCAATCTGCTTCATCACCGCAGAGGAGAACAGCAACCAATGCTTGCGTACAATATATACGCAGGGCAACAACGGAATATATATCCTACGCATATTTCTTTTGAAATGATGGGTTACATATAGAAATGTAGATGGTGTAACTTTGGCTTAGTATTTGCATGACAAATTGAGTAGCATATGCATATTAATTATAATTACTTGTAAGAAACTACCACATATACTATTATTATTATTAACAAAAACAGTAATAATAATAATGATAATAGTGATCTATTTTAGGCCCCCTCTTACCAGAAAATGAAACACTGGCCAACAGCACATTGGACCCTGAGCCTGACCTCAACCAGACCCTGGTGTTCGCCGACCTCTCCGCGGAATCCCTATATGAAGGTAAAAGGCCTAACATCGCCGACCTCTCCGCAGAATCCCTATATGAAGGTAAAAGGCCTAACATCGGTGTAAAGAGCCTTTTGCGCTGGTGCTCAGGCACACTCAGCCCGAACTGAAAGATGGCATGATGGTCGTGATGTCATCGTGATGTTCATCCGCAGCCCTTCATGGGGGGGGCGTGGATCCAGCCGGAGTGACAGAGGATCCGGAGACCCCCAGTCCCTCAGGAACGGCTTCCCCTCACCCCTCATCTCCCTCGGAAGGTTAGCATGCATCTACGCTGCTTGATCTTACCCTCTCCTGTTATACACTGTGTCCCTGTTGTTTGTATTTGGCTCTTTTTTTTTTTTTTAAATAGGAACCCAGATAGCTGGTTGTCATGGACCTTAACGCTCCACATTCACTCTAACTCATGACAACACCACAAAGATATGTGAATAGTTTAAAAAAAAAAAAAAAAAAAAAGGAGGATCTATTTTTTGCAAAGGCAAAACATGCATTTTTTTAGGCAGAACACACAGAAATACGTTTCCAATCTAAAATTGGCAGGTGAGACCGAGCTGGAGCCAGAGGAAATGCTGACTGCAGGATCTCCACGTCCTTCTCTAGAAGGTAAAAATGTTCTTCAAACCTCGCCAACCTCACACCTGGAAATTCGTCAGATTCTTCATAGGAGCAAAACAATTAGATCCACATCCTGCAACTGAGTCCTTTCATATTTGGCAACCCACGCTTCAGTTTATATGAAGGAGACACTTTTTGTTACTGCAGAAGCCAAAACTGAATGCAAAAATCAATGTAAAGAAATTCTCATTAAGCTGTGTACACAGTGAGATACCTTAGGCAGACTATAGTGGGTAACTTTCTTCCTCTGTATTTGGACCTAATCCCACTGGCCGAAATTAATATTTTATATTTAATGTCTTTGTTCCATCTCCAGAAGAGAGAGAGAGTAGCAGCAGACGTGCACCAAACGCCGAGCAGAAACATCAGCTGCCTCTGCAGGTCCCAGCGGAGACTCACTCTGAAGGTAAAACAGGTCATTGTGAGCGGCCGAGACCGGCAGCCCCACCCCCAGCCACAGAGGTGCAGAAGCTTGACGTCTCGTCTTGGTTCTGCCGTGAGACTCCCGTGTGCTCAACCTGACATTTTTTCCCCCAACAGTCCTAAACAGACGGGAAACGAAGACGACAGCGGCGACAGAGAGACAGGAGACATTTCCTACGCAAGCCAGCCACCCTTCGCCGTCCACCGCTGACGGTGTGTGGGGATTCTCCATTATGGGTCGTATGTTTTGAGCTTAAGTTGGGATTTTTTTTTTAAATATATAATTTCACTTGTTTCTGTAGAATATTTACTGCTTGGTTTGAGCCATAATCTAACAGTAGATGGATGCATACTCTTCATACTCTTTCTGCTTGTATGAAGAACCCAGGAAGCTGGCCTGTAACTTCACATAAATGTATTAATCACTTTGCATCATGCAAATCTCTCTCTCCTCTGGAAGCAGCAACAGCCGAAATGGACGCTGAGACAGAGGGTATGTTGCTTACATACTTTCCTCATGATTTTACACTCTCTTCCTTAGCAGATGTTCTTAAACACCAGAATTTCGTGACAGCTAATTCATCACACACCAAACATGCTCGTATATAAATAGCGTATCACCCACAGCTGGTGTCAAAACCTTTTATATCTTTGTTTTTTTCCCCTCCTTTGATTGGCAGACGTGACCGAACCTGTAAGAGTGTCATTGGTTGGTACTATGCAGACAACGGTGGCTCCACCAATCCGCACGACACATTCTACCCTGAACTCTGCAGAAATGGACTCTTTCACAGAAGGTGGGTGACTCAGACAGGAAAGATTCCTTCCATAGTTTGTCTGTGGGATTTCGCTCCCCCAGAAAGCGAGATCCTTAACCTCTCCATCTAGTCGATTCCCCAAAACAGATGAATACACACACACACACACACACACACACACACACACACACACGTCTTTGTAGTGCAACAGTAGTTCTTGGAATTATTTAAGGCAGAAGTTCAGTCATCACACCACAGTGAGGATTCCAGTGGGAGAGAGTAAAAATTGTTCAGAATAAGAATTAGGATCTAATTGAAAAGGAAAAAAAAAGTTAGAAATGTGATCTGAAATACTCAATTATAGCTACCTAGTTCAGTGAAATTAAAATGAATTGTAATAAATGAATAAATATATCAAGATGTGTTAACATTCATATAAATGTTCACAAATCCTTGTAATTCACTGCTGCTAAAAAATTATGCTGTAAAAACTCCCACTTCTGTCAGATAGTTAAGCAGGGATTTAATCAGACCTGACAAGTATCGCATTGATTCCCTGGGGCTTTTTAAAAAAAATAAAAATAAATAAATGTGTTGTGCTTAAGACTCATCATTTACCTAAGCACAACAGTGGTATCTAGGGATGATTTTCCCAATAAAGCATAGACTGACTAACATGATTATTTTTTTTTTGTTGAAATGATCTAATTTCAAAGCATTTAATGTAGCTGATCTGTGCTGCACTTCCACAGCTGAGGAGCCGGTGTCCGTGACAAAAGGCCGTACGGCTCAGAGAGACAGGAAGGGGACGCTGACACAACCTGACACATCTGCTGAGGCCGAACCGACAGACAGGCCCTCGTGCAAAGAGACAGATTCGCACGATGAATCCCGAGAGAAAGAAGGTATTTACCTCGATAGCTGACACCAATTTGACACAGCTGTAAGGTATGACAACCCGTTTTGTACATTTCACCTTGAAATCTGACTCTGCCCAGTGGTCGTCACACAAAGCTAAGATAAATAGCATATGTGAAATTCCTCCACATCTTCTAAATTTTGTAAATGGATCCCTTTTCTGATGGCCGCTCTTGAAAGTCAGAGGAGCAGCTCAGACTTGTGGATGTTCCGTGTCCGTTTGACCAGGCAGGGGAAGTAGGACTCGCAGCTGGCAAATGACCCAGCGTGTACTTGACCCACACTTAAAAAAAGATTAAAGACAGCTTTGTTTATTAATGGCATAGAGCTAAGCTGTCCTCTTTTTGAATTTTTGGCTCTTGACTAAGTAATACATGAAATCCTGAAGTGGAACAACAGCCGGAGATTGTTCTAGAACCAGATTCTGGGGCCTAACATGTCAGGCTCATTGTCTTCCTTTGCCAAAAAACAAAACCAAAGTGCTGACACTTGGAAAGGTATCCTTTTCCAGACCCAGAACTTGCAGGAACAAAACAATCATCAGAATATTAACACTGAGTATTAACTCTCACGCAGTGTTCCCTGGTGTCAGTGTCGTTATACCTCACTTTCCCCCCAGCGTACCAGCCCAAGCCAAGGGCTGTACCCCTATTCGCGCTCTCTCTCCTGGAAGCGGCTGGCCTCATTGACCTTCCTGCGGACCACAACACTGAAGGTGCACAGCTAACACTCTCCCTACCTTGGGTTCTAACTTAGGCATCATATCGTGGTATACGTAGGGTTATCACCTTATTCCATTCAACTAATTTGTCGCAAAGCGCTGTACATAAATGTGTTGTGATACATTAAACATCATTAGAGAGAGAGAGACCTTAGTCCTGTATAATCCTGGACAACAGTCATTCACCAAAAGTATTGCACATGGTGACACCATTCCGAAGGCTTGTTTAGGGAAATTTACAGGGACATTCTGTGTTCCGGAATGAAATTCGTTTTATCCAGGACAACGGAAATCAAGGCTGGTCTCAGAAAATTCAGGACAGATGGCAACTCTAGGTTTATGGTTTTTTTGATGCTATTTTCAAAAGTGACGCTGTTCTGGTATTTTGAAATGGTAAATCCCCATGGCAAATTTCACCTAAAGGCTAGGGTCACTAAGTTTTCACAATACATACATACATATAGACAGACAGGCAGGCAGGCAGGCAGGCAGACGTAATAGCGCCCAGGTCTACTACAATACTGTGTAAAGGCCTTAGGCAGTCAGTAGTGAGTGTATAGTAACGTCAGCATAACCCCGGTACCTCCTGCCCCCCCTGTGGAGAGCAGAGTGCAGCCACACCTTCACCCAGTACGGCGCGGACGGCCGGCCGCGCCAGGAGATGCCCGCGCTGGGCGAGATGCTACACTGCCTGACGGGCCGCTGTCCGCACGACTACGAGATGCACGGCTGCTACTGTGGCCAGGAGGGGCGTGGCCGACCCGTGGACCAGCTAGACAGGTGGGCGGGGCTACGTCGTGCCGTGAAAAAAAAACGTATTAAAGTGTTTACTAATCCGGTCCTCGGGAACCAGATATTAAACATCCATTCACCCAAAAACAACCGTGCAAAGGCCAAGAGCAGAGAGTAGCTAAATAGAGGCCATACCCCCCCCCCCTTCTTCTCCCCCCCAGCTGCTGTTTCTTCCACCAGTGCTGCCTGGAGCAGATAAGGATGCTGGGATGCCGCCCAGAACGCAGGCTGGGCGTCCACATCACCTGCCAAGAGGGCCAGCCGCAGTGTGAGTGCCCCCAACAGGACGAACCCGGCACTGCAGCCTTTACGGACTGCACAACGGCACGCTGCTCAAATTAGCCCCATGGAATAGCTCACAAAAACTAAAAAAAATCTTAACACTGAGCATAGCGGGGTGGGAGAGGGGGGCATCTTACAGTTTCGAGCACAGTGCAGACTGACGTCTATGTCACAGTGACTGAGCTGTCGACTAGCTTTACTGTAGCTGCTGCCATGTGCTTCCTGACCAGGCTTCGGGGTCGGCGTCTGCGACAAGCTGCAGTGTGTGTGTGACAAAGCCAGTGCCCACTGCATGGCTGCCGCCCAGCACAACGACAGCGTCTCCTCGCACCAGTGCCGCGGACCCAAGGCCCCCTGCCGGCGCAGGCCGCTCGCCCCGCCCTGGCTCCGCCCACCGGCCCACCTGCCCGACTCCAGCGAAGAGAGTGGCACTTGGGAGGGAACGAGACGGGAGGTGATCCAGAGTCGCCCCGTCCGGCCTGAGGCGGGGGACAGTGTTGCCATGGAAACCAGTAGAATGACCAGCGATGAAGGAGATGGGGGACTGGGTGAGCTGACTGAGGATGGAGCCTAGGAAACAGCAGTCCTTCCGCACTCCCAGGGGGTACCAACAGGAGGAGCTCTCGGAACAGCCCAAAAACCTCACTATGGTATTTTCTTTATTAAAAAAAAACAAAACAAACAAAAAAAAAAAACCTTGTGCTTTTAAGTTTGTGCAGCTTCAGGTCTTGAAGTGCAAAACACAGCAATCCCCATTTCCTGTGGAATCACAAGTTTCAGACTGGACCTCCCCTCCTGCCCCCCCACCTGCGGCATGAAGGCTGAAACAACCACATTTTTATACATAAATATATATATATTGCTGGCATGTTATACTTTGTGAAACCAGTTCTATTAAAAATAAAGCGAACTGCCTCTCCATGTTGAGTGAGTGCTGGTTCCCGTCTCCTATCTGTGCAGCCCCCCCCCCCCACACTGGCTAGCTGAGCAGAGCTCCAGTGAAGCTTTTAGAAACACTGCTTTTGACTGAAAGTAATCAAGTTATCCAATCACAACCTCTCATCCATCTGCTCCAATTCCACCAATGAGAGCGCTGCTGTGAAAAGCCCATTTGTTACAATACCTACAGACATCTTTACTCATTTCGAAATCGGTAAATTTAAACGCTGAGCCACACAGTACATAAAGGGTTTAAAGAGCACCAGGGTGATAAGATTTGATATTAAGCATATTAATTTATTAAATAACAGATCCTTTTACACAAAGTGAGAAACATTCCCAGTCTATTTCTTGAAAGACGACACAAGCAGAGCTCTTTAGGTTTTAATATAAAACTTTAATTGGACCATCTGTACTCTTACAATAAACTGCACTTGATGCACAAAGTACTACTGATACAGTGTTCGATTCAGAGCATAATCTGCTATAGACACAGTCTGAAAGAGGCTAAGTGTGCAACACGTACAAAAGACCTTGCGAGGCTCCACTCCGTTCCAGACCGTCTGAGAAAAGCCTCTCGACGCGGCCAGGGGAAAACGGCACCACCTGCTGCTGTGGGGAAGGCGGGGGCATTCGCAAGAAGCAGGACCAGTACCGATCCTACTTAGAGAGAACCTAAAGCTCGGATCACACGTCAAAAACAAAGACTAAAGCATAACCCACGGTGTTGCGATGACACCAAGCGCCATTTATAATCGATAATGATGTGCAAAGTCCCCACTGCGCGATGTGCGTGAAACTCACGGCTCAGTAACGTGATAAGGGGATGCGGATATAAAAAAATACGGTATATATAGATATAAATACATCCAACAGCTACACAGCCAGCGAAACCCCTGTAAAGCCTGCATTCAGTCATACAGCCACCCCAGAGGTCAACAAGGGGCTTATTTCCAGCAAATAACAGGTGCCGTCCTTCTGAAAGAGCCAGAAACAGCCGCTATTTACGGCAGGTAAACGCCGCGCTTCTGTCCCGAGGCTCTCTCAGAGGACTCTCCGTTATCTGATCAGCGCGCATGAAAGAGGAGACAAAACAGAGGAGATAATATGAGGAAGATTTGGCCCAGAGAACATGAGAGCGGAGGAGCCGTTCACAAAGAGCGCCCTGTGTGCGTAGCCGCTCGAGAGACGGCGATTAGAGGGAAACCCAAAACCGCGACAAGAGGCGGCTCAGTGGGTCCAATTACAGATCCCAACGCCAAGGAGAAGCAGTCAGACCATAGAGCCGCATCCATTCGTCGGTTTAGTGCAACACCTCACTGACTGAATTCATATACAACCTGCACCCCCCCCTCCACAGTGTACAGCAAACGCATAGCGAAAGGGCAAATGCGTGAACGGAAACCGAAGTATTCCCCAAGTGGCACGGTGCATTTCAGCAACATAAACATTATGATGTAGGGTCTGCCAGCCACGTCAGCCAATGGCCCGGCAGCACCAAAGTCTCTCTATATACAAACGACAGCAAAATTGATCGTCATTTCCTCAACCCACTTTCATCTACTTCTACTTCCTAAATACCGGATTCGGATCATGAGAAAGCTGCTTTATTGGTCTTCCTGCATTCCGGAATATGTGCAGGGAAGCGCGTACAATCAGCAAGTCTGCTGTAAAAATCACAAAGATAAAATATACTAAATACTCTTCAGGAGACACATCTACATATCTATATATGCTATTTATTGCTTAAAAAGTGTAAAAGCAAATTCTATTCAGACAATTAAATCGACAGGATATCGAACAGCTTTGGCAGGTGATTGAAGAGACGGGAATCCCAACACACGAGTGATTCTTCGAAGGGATTCCTCCGGAAGCCTCAGCGGGCAGATTTTTGATTTTGCGCACACGTGCGCTTCCGAAGGCTGCCCAATGCTAGCATGTCGTCCAGGCGGCAGTCCCGGCATGTGGCCTGGACCGATTATGCAGGGCAGGCGGGTAAAGGGAACGTCCGAGAGCTGCACTACAGTTTTTGCGTCAGGCCCACAGAATTTAAGATGGCGGACGTGCCAAGCGTTTAACGCACAGTGCGACTTAGAATGTTTTTCCGAACAAAAAGCTTTGAGACGACCAGCCTGGAGGTGCCTCGTCAGCGCCCATGCAAACTATGTTCTTATACTTTTACCCGACTACAGAATTACATTATAAGACAAGTCAACAGCTGTGGCATTGCAGAATTTAAAGTTTATATTGATAAAATGGTAGAATATACTACGTTTCCATTGCTGTCGTTTTTATGAGTTGAGAAATGCTGGTATGTTACATAGATTTAAATGACAGAGTCCGTCAACTGCACTCTACGTAGTAAAATGAAACTGCACTTAAGTTTTCGTAAATGCCTCTCGCAAGTCACAGAACAAGGTCTCTTTTCCAGCGGAACCTCTACCCCATGGATACATGCAGACTAACAGTCTTTGGGAAGGACTGGCTTTCACCCCGAATGTGACCGCCACTGATGAACCACCTCCAGTGGCACGTCTACATTTTCCCGCCAAAAAAGAAGCACCGCTTATCCTCGTGTCGACATGGATACCGCTTAATGTCACACACCGAGTCACGCGGTTGACACTGCCGACGGGCAAGCTCTTGGCGGCAAAGGTTGGCTGAAGACGGCCTAGCTTGCCTCTCACCCTCATCCTTTAACGTAGGTGTCGCTCGACAGACTCAACGGTCTGCTTTTAGTCTTCAAAGTCTGCCTTCGAAGGAAGCTAAACCCGCAAGATAGGATCCTCTGAAGACTCGCCAAGATACTGGTGTGGAGGCCCGTTTAGGAGAAGTGTGTCTCGCACCATCATCATGCAGACAAACCTAAATATCACACTATACACAGAATATAACCCTTATAACTGTCAAATAGTCCAAGATACAGTATACATTTATATCAACCCTGAAATTAACTTTGAATCAGTATACTTATCCCTGACTGACTGACTACCTGATCTGCGTACAAAGATTTTACAAAAACCATTCAATTCAACATCCCAGAATCCTCAGCTGACAGTGTGACAGGCCGACCTCACTGTCGAGGCGACCATCCCCGCCACAGAGCACCAGAGACCCTAAATGCCACGATTGCATCAGAGTTGCATAAATCCAGTAGCCTTAGGGCACAAATACATTGTACAAGTTGATCATTTTTCTTCAGAAGGTCAAGATATGTGAACTGACTCAACACAAAGGCTTTCATTGTGCCTCTTAAAATAAGGCACCCCCCCCCCCCAAAGTCAGCTAAAACTTTCAGGAGTCAAATATCTCAAACATCTGACGTCAGATTTTCTAATGGGGAGGGGCAGATTCTTATCTACCTACCTTTAAGATAACCTTTCATATCTCCAGCAATCGTGCAAGTCCCCCCCCCCAAAAAAAAAACAAATAAATAAAAAATGGATAAGAACATGTTTTTTTTTTTTTTTAAAAGCGAGTTCCCCAGAAGGTGGTTCACAGAAGATGAGCTCCTGATATGGTGGCAGTGGTGCCAGCAGAGAGCATAAAAGCAGCGGAATTAATAAACACACAGATCAGGGAACTTCATTTCGTACACGGGGACGGACTGGTACTGGGCATGCCCAGCGGTGATCGTCACGGCACCAGACGGGCTGGGCGGGGGCCTGCGGAGGAATAAGGAAACGCTCAATGCGTCACAATGTCCGTCACCACGGCAACACAAAGCAGAACTACAGCAATCCTAGAACTGCGGGTATTGCTGGTTCTAAGACAAGTTCTGCGTACGTTATTCCATAAGTACTATTAACGGATTTCTTTTTCTGAGCATATATATGCGGAGAAAATAAAAGTGTACAGTGTAAATAAGACGCCCAATTTGGGCAGATGGCTTCCGAAATTAATTTAGGTTATGCTGAGTAGCTAAAGCATAGCCCATTGTGCTTGATACAGCTTTCAAAAATAAACTCGAAGATTCCTGCTATACTGACGACAAACAGCTAGGAGGCCATTAAGCCAAATAGAATCTGAAACCAAAAATAATTACGTTTCAGTCTGAAAGATCCCCCTAACAGAGAAAAAAAACCAAAATACTCATGCAACATAATTGTATTAAGTTAATTCGAAATGTTTGTTTATCAGTACATGAATATTACCAAAAATGTGCAGTAATAAGCCCAAAAGGGAGAGAGAGGGTCTTAAGGGGGCAGACTGACTTTTTGAGTTTCCAGAATTATATGCTAGGTAGCAGGACTGTGCAATAAACAAAATTACTGAAGACATAAGACATTAAATGCAAGACACTTACCGGATCGTCAGCTCGAAAATTTGCGCCAATCTGTCATGCAACATATTGGCCTGCAAAATACAACAATTTGTCCATATTTAGTTTTAAAACCTGTACACTGACGTCGACAACCCACTGTACAGCCCACTGTACAGCCCACTGTACAGCCCACTGTACAGCCCACTGTGAAATATCATGCAAACAGACATAGAAAACATGACGAATCCGATACCTGGTACATCTATCCATTCACTCATTAAAATGTACAATTCTGAACAAAATAACAGGGTTGATAAATATCAGCTTAGAAATGCTTCTGCGCCACCGATTTGTCATCCAAAGTACTTCACGGGGAAAGCAGAACTCATTCATCAAACATTATCAGGGAGCATTTGAACTTCAGAAAGTTTCAGAAAATATTAGTCAGAGACGAAGATGTGGCCCCATCTGAAGACGAGGAGTTGTGCAGCAGTACAGACCTCCTGGCAGCCATGGTAAACAACGTCGCTGACCAGGTTTCCACTCACCTCAACGGCAACAGGATCATATGTAACCAGAAGCTATCACCCTTACAGCAACTGATTTATCCTGGATAAGATCCTAATTTCCCTGCCTTGTGGCAGAGAACCTGAATACGACAAAGGGCTACAAAAAGTGGATAGATGGAAGATACTTATTCTGCATAAAACTGACTAGCCTGATTTTATCAAAGTATCCATCCACTTCCTTCCCAGACAGATCAGTTCACTGACTTTTCTTTCCATTCATTAACATTGTAAACATAAGCTTAAGAACTCTGAAGTACATTTACTGCTGAAGTAGCCTGGGTTTCGCTCATCGCCGGCGGCTCACCTTCGACTCGCAGTGGGCCGCGATCTCCTCGAACGGAGCCTTCTGGAACTTCTCAATCACTTGCCTCCTCTTCTCCTTCTCCTGCTCCTCCATGCCCGTCGTGTCTGCGGAGAACGTCCATCAGTGATCCCGCTCACCCCACGGCACGTGCCGGATGAGCTCTTCAGACCACCCCCCCCCCCCCCCCCCCCCCCCCCAATCTGCCCCCGAAGGCACATCACAAAACAAGCACCCAAAAAGGTGCACTTCCCACAAGTCGACTGACTTTCAGCTGTGACTGTGAGGACATCATAATTAAGACGTGCAATGTGGTTAGAGATCAGTAAGTATGTTAGAAAACTTAGAGATCTGAGGGTAGTAAGTTACAGGTGAGTAACTAGTCATATAAAGAGAGGAAAGTCGTCTGCAAAACACTTTGACGTTTTCGCAAGTTTGTGAAAAGTCTGTTATGTAATCGCAACGGCCGTCGCCCTAGAAACCCAAGAAACAGCACGGCGAGCCCGAGACGGCTCGACAACAAGGGCGTGCGGTGACACATCGCTGACTAATCAGAGAATAGCCTGCAGACGCCCGCCTGTCTCCGCTGACTCACCGATGGCCTTTTTCAGAGTCTCGAAGGTGATCTCTTCAGCCAGCTGGGACTGTAAAGAAAACAAGAGGGAGACGGGCCTCATGACATTACGAACGACGACGGCCGCTTTAAAACGCTGTCCAGACACGACAGACTTCGGGAGTCTTCGCCACGAGCAAAACAGCCTTTCCGATAGGGGGACGAGCAAGACCCCAAGAGTGTGTGATACTGGTTTTCGGGGACATCCTCTTAGATCGCCCGCGAAAAGGCTCTCCGAGAAGCTGCCTGAGGTCAAACGTGGAAATATTAATGAACCCAGACGAGAGCTCATTAAAACAGGGGACCTTTTGGTAGCATTTCAACCGGAGCCATTAACGTGATACTTTCTGAATAAACATCCTGTCCAAACCAGAAAATGTCACCACCCTAAAAATAATAATGAAATAAATAACTCAGGGATAAGCTTTCCCATAAAAGTCCTTGATTTATCCTGTTTGAAGCCGTAATTCTTCAGAAAAGGACACAATCAGAGGCCTTTTTATTAGCAAACGAAGCATGTTGGCTAATGGAGGGAAAGTGTTTCCACTGAAGTCTCAACCAACTGTCATATTAATACTCGATGACAATTTATTTTTCTAGAAATATCCCTGTTGCCATTTTCTACAAATTGCACCCCAAGGCCATAATCATTCGCAACATATAAGGTACAAGGCCGACACGATTCAGCATGGGGTGAATTATAATCGCAATGCAACGTCTGTCCCTACAAAAGCGTTGCTCTGGAAGGACAGGTGCTGTCTGGGTGGACGTGGGTAATGCAGCTTCATAATCCAGCACGAGGTGATGGTGCAAAAGCTCAGGTTAATGATGCATGTTGATTATTTTTTCCCCTAACATATAATTAAGGATCTGGCACGTTAGCTGAGGGTAAGGGGAACTTTTGCAGATGCACACAGCAAATTAGCGTGAAACCATTCTTGATCTTTCAGAACAAATTGCACATGACAAAATTCACAGACATTTCCCTGACAGAAGCCAAAAATTAAACCGGCATTAAAAATAGTCTGGAGATGCAAGATGGGGAGACAATTACCTTGTCTGGTAAGCTGCTGGAGACGATGTCCACCTGGAGAGACATCGTGTCTACAAAGCTCTTCCTTCTGGAGAGGCGGTCTTCATCTAGGGAAGTAGGACGAGAGACTGAGAAGATGCTGACAGATGTGGAGAAGATGCTGAACCTCCCAGCATCGCTGAGGAGGATCCAAAAAGCTTCAGCAAGTGGTATAGAAGGTCCAACATCAACAGAACCTTGGGCTGCATACTGGGCGGTGACTGGTAGAAGGCAGGGCATATTTACAGCTGGTGGTCTGCTTTTACAAGAGAAGGGTAGAATGTTCCAGAGTAACTGTTTTAATTCCACACTCTGCCTTTTTGGTGTGTCCTGGATCACTGCTGGCTTTACGAGCAGCAGGAACAGGCCGGATGACCCAGGGACTGAAAGCTGGGGTGTGGGGGCCAGGCTTGCAGAGGGGGGGGGGGGCATGAAAGCACCACCCTCCACAGACAGACCGCCGACACACGAAGGGCTGTAAATTCCCCACTTACTGTGGCTAAATATGGGGAAAACTGGAAACACATATTTTAGACCAAACTTAAAAGCCTTTTTGGGGCTAATTCACTTGACAAAGAAAAGGGTTTTACGTTTATTTAGTCGACGATTTTGCTCAGTGGCAGATAATTATTTCCTGTGTAAAGCAGCAAATTTTATTCAAGCAATTTCAATTAAATATCTTTCATGCGAGCGTCACAGCAAAGGTCCATTATCAAAAATGAAATTAGTACCAAATTTACTTTCTCAGCTACTACATATCACATCTGAAAAGTCCAACGTATTCCTCATACACAGCTGGATCCAACACCTAACTACAAAAATCAACATAAACGATATGTAGTTCTGTGTCCTGTGATTATATTGTACTGCGCAAATAAGCACAACTAAAATAAAACTGACTGGACAGCCTGACCTAGCTCTTACTCACCACAGCCGTCATCGACGTGCGAGAAAAGTGTGAGGAGATGGGAAAAAAAAAAAAAAGATGGGTAAATAAAGCACAAGTCTGTTGAAAGTAACTTTTGGATGGGAAAATAAATCAGCTGTGTTCTGTGTGCTGCAAGTGTGAAAATAAAGGTCAGCTGAACCCTAAAATGTCTCAGTAACAGCTAGATAATGAATTCTGAAACCCAATTAAGAGTCTGCAACTCACACCCTGGCAGGAGTTGAGGGAACAGCTGCTTTGATCTGATTGGTCGATTGGACTACTTTTTTATTATGATGTTTAATGTATTTTGCTAGTTCTAAAACTCACACATCTTTATATAAACAAACATGGGAATATTCTGAAAACCATTTCTTTTACTGTTGGAGTACCGAATGCCAGAGCAGATCGGATGAGTGACACCCAGCTCGTGGCAATACTGCAGGAAATTAGGGTTTTTTCCCCACCAGAATCTTCTACAATCGATGTAAAAGGTCGGTAAACACACCCAGCTCACCACGTATTTTAAAGGAAATGTCAAATTATCTGGGTGGGGGGGGACTGGAATCAAACTGTCAGTTTGGGCTGGTGTTGACATTGGAATATCAGAATATGGTGTACTGTTCTCACAGTAACGAATGGCAGAGGGGTCAAAGGTCAGGGTGGAGGAGGAGCCTGTACAGACTACATCTATAGGACTGATGAACTCACAGCTAACTACACCGGTTACCTCTGGATGTCTGTCTGCACTGATAAAGGACTTTCCCTACTCTATAAAGGACTAAATTTAGAGACAAAAAATTAGGGAGGGGAAGAAAAGGAAAGACAGAATGTTTAGTAAAACAGGAAGTCAGCAGACCGTTGTCTGCACTGTGTACCATCTTTGCATTGTCTTGTTTCGTTCTACATGTTTGTCTGTCTGTACTTTACATAGCTTGCTGCTATATGAACCAGATTCCCTCTGGGATCAATAAAGTTCACCTTATTCCATCTTAAACTATTCTCTTATTTTCGGTCATTTCAACCTTCCTCCACGCATTCTTCTGGGGCCGAAGGCTGGCCTCCCCGCACGCCGGTCTGGGGACGAGCCCTTACCTGTCACCTGTGGCACATATGCCACCGACAGCCGGTCCACGCCGTAACTCGGGCCGGCCAACAGCTCGGCGATCTCGTGGGTCTGAAAGTACAAGTTCTGGTCATCCATGTCGAGGGAACCTGGCAGCCTGTGGGACACAGAAAGGGCGCGGGGGGAGGGGGGCACCATCAGCCATATCACTGGGAGACTTCCTCTGGAAGCAGGTCTCACTCAGAGAAAAGAATAAACACAACTACAAACCAAAGTGTGGTACTGCTGTAAGCTAACCTCATACAGCGTAGCTT